AAAGACAAAATTAATCTGTGGTGAAAAAAATCATAACAGTGGTTCCCTGTGGCAGGGAATTGACTGGGATGGTACATGAGTGAGATTTCTGGGTGGTAAAAATGGTCTCTATCTTGATAGGGATGTGAGTTACATAAGTATATTCACTTATCAAAAAATATGCAGGTAACATTTCAGTGAATGTAAATTTACCTTAAAAACTATAAAAAATAGTGGCCGGGTGCAGTGACTCACACCTGTAATCCTAGCACTTTGGGAGGCCGAGGCAGGTGGATTGCCTGAGCTGAAGAGTTCAAGACCAGCTTGGGCAACACGGTGAAACCCAATCTCTACTAAAATACAAAAAAAAAAAAAAAAATTAGCCGGGCATGGTGGTGTGTGCCTGTAATCTCAGCTACTCGGGAGGCTGAGACAGGAGAATCACTTGAATCCGGGAGGTGGAGGTTGCAGTGAGCCGAGATCACACCATTGCACTCCAGCCTGGGCCACAGAGTGAGAGACTCCATTTCAAAAAAAAAAAACTAGGCCAGGCCTGATGGCTCATGCCTGTAATCCCAGCACTTTGGGAGGCCGAGGCAACGGATCTCAAGGTCAGGAGTTCAAGACCAATCTGGCCAACATGGTGAAACCCTGTCTCTACTAAAAATACAAAAAAATTATCTAGGCATGGTGGTGGAGGCCTGTAATCTCATCTTCTCGGGAGGCTGAGACAGAGAATTGGTTGAACCCGGGAGGTGGAGCTTGCAGTGAGCTGAGATCGTGCCACTGCACTCCAGCCTGGGCAACAGAGCAAGACTCTGTCTCAACAGCAACAACAACAAACAAAACCATAAAAATTAAATAAACTTTTAAAATCTAATAGCTAACACCTGGTTGAACACTCAACATGTATGGGTATTAGCTAAGGCTATACATACACTATTTCGTTTAATCCTCAGACTGCCCTCATGGGGTAGGTATTATTATCATAACCCCCTTGCATATGAAGAAGCTGAAATTTAGTAAACATTAAATGACTTGCCTCAATCTATACCCCTGGAAAGTGGTGGCAGAGCTTTGAACACAGTCAGTTGAACGCCAGAAGTGGTTAAACATTAGGCCCTATAGCACTTCTCTGAAATTGTAATCTTTTGATTTATATATATTACTCATCTACTAGATTAAGAGCTTCACGATGATTGAAATCATATTTTGTCTTTTTGTTTGTTTGAGGTTTGTGGTTTCGTTTTATTTTATTATTTTAAAAGACTGGGTCTCATTATGTTGCTCAGGCTGAACTTGGACTCCTGAATTCAAGCCATCCTCCTGCCTCAGCTTCTTGAGTAGCTGGGACTACAGTCACACACCATCACACCCCATATTTTTGTCTTAAGCTTCTCAGTAGTCCTAGCACTTTGCACAGTAGCTGTTCAATGTATTTTGAATAAATGATTAAAAATAAGCCTGGTGTTGATTTTATTGGTACAATTTATATTTACATATGTAATATTCATATCATATGCTTTTATATATTCGTATGTGTGTATATATATAATTTATACCAGCTTAGCACTGTTGTGCTTAAGTGCCTGAGATGTATCTCAAATGCATAGGCCGGAGGAGAGAAGCTTGTGTCATTAGCTCTGACCCCCGAGCACTAACCCTGATTTACCCCTTTCTTTCACTTGCCTGAGCACATCAATTTATTTGGTGAAAGAGCTTACACTTTAACATCTCACTGAAATAGCTCATTCTAACCGAAGAAAGAGCTAATTCTGACCTCCCACGAGTGCTTGAGCATTTGCGTAAGTGAAATTCCACTGTGTGAATTTCACCCAACACCACCTCTGCTCCAGCTCCTGCCACTCTACTGCTCATACCCTAGAACTCCACATGTGGAGTAGAAGACTGAGGATGCAGGGAGGATGCAGGGTGCAGTGGGCAGTAGCACCCTCCTCAGATAGCTTTTCTTTTTTTTTTTTCCTCTCGCTCCGTCGCCCAGGCTGGAGTGCAGTGGTGAGATCTCCATTCACTGCAAGCTCCACCTTCCAGGTTTACGCCATTCTCCCGCCTTGGCCTCCCGAGCAGCTGGGACTACAGGCGCCTGCCACCATGCCCGGCTAATTTTTTGTATTTTTAGTAGAAACGGGGTTTCACCATGTTAGCCAGGACGGTCTCAATCTCCTGACCTCGTGATCCACCCACCTCGGCCTCCCAAAGTGCTAGGATTACAGGCGTGAGCCACTGCGCCCGGCCCTCAGATAGTTTTATTTGCGGTAAATTCAGTGAGCAATTAAAAGTTTTCTATGTTCTAATACTGTACACCCTTAGCATTGATTTGGGTCACTGTCTGGGAGGGGAACCCCTCTAAACCTGGCAAGGGTTAAACCCTGGAACACCATGCTCTAAACTGCCAAAGGTTTGTTTAAGTCAGTCATGTTAGCTCCATTGTTCACAGAAAGGAAATGCAAAGGAGATACTCCTCTGAATGGCAAAAACAACCCAAGGTACAAAGAAGGAACTCACCAGAGAAGTCAAACCCACTGGTGAGCAATATTCCTCCTTCACCCTGGGCGCTTGTATTTGGGAGCTTTTTTAGAGAACCAGACCATCTCAGTTACATTCTAGGATTGCACTAATACAGCAACCACTAGAGACACTGGCAGCATGTGACTATTTACATTTAAACTTAAATTAAGCCAGGCATGGTGGCTCATGCCTGTAATCCCAGCACTTTGGGAGGCCAAGACAGGAGGATCGCTTGAGACCAAGAGTTTGAGGCCAGCCTGAGCAACACAGTCAGACCCCATCTCTACGAAAATAAAAATTAAAAACTTAGCCAGGTGTATTGGCACAACTGTAGCTATTCTGGAGACTGAAGTGGGAGGGTCACTTGAGCCAGGAGGTGGAGGTTGCAGTGAGTTAAGATCATGCCCCTGCACTCCAGCCTGTGTGCCAGAGTGAGTCCCTGTCTCAAAAATAAATAAATTAAAAGTTCAGTTTCATAGTCACACTCACATACTTCAAGCACTCAGTAATAGCACATGTGGCCAGTGGCTACTGTCTGACAGTACAAATATAGAACATTTCCACTCATCAGAAAGTCCTATTGGTAGCACTATTAAAGAAAAAGGAGACATAACACTCCATTTCAACTCCTACTGATGTTCAAAACTGTTTTGTTGTTTTGTTTTGTTTTTTAAATGAAGGTTCACAATGAAATAGTGACAGCCTATCTTACTAGGCTCGTTACTTTCTACAATATGAATCTGAAAGGTACTCAAATAAAAAGCTATAGCCTCCATGCACTGGAGTTATAAGAATAGCTTTAACTTAGCAGGACATGGTGGCGTGCACCTGTAGTCCCAGCTACTAGGGAGGCTGAGGTGGAAAGATCACTTGAGCCCAGGAGGTGGAGGTTGCAGTGAGCTGACATCACACCACTGCACTGCACCGCACCCTGGGCAATAGAGCAAGATCCTGTCTCAAAAAAAAAAAAAAAAAAAAAAAGAATAGCTTTAACCTCACCACTTTAACACTTTACCTCCACCATATTCATTCTTTAGAAGACCCTGACATCATCTTAGGAAAGAACATTATTCAGAGACACACAATTCTGTTTATCTCTTGATACTTGTGCACAGGTAGAGACTAGATCTGCCATGATTATGGGAAAGAACAAGCTCTCTGGCCGTATAGCTCAGACATCACTTCTATATGTGATCCTACACATTAACACGGTCAGCCCAAAAAACTTTTGAAATTGAGCCACCAGAATGGGACATCAATAGTGTGCCAGTTCCTACCCACCAAAAGGAGAAATTCATTCATTTCTTGACTTTCCAAAATACTTGTTTTAAAGCAAGATAAAATTTGGTGGAACTAGAGTTAGTAATTCCACTTAAACTATCCAATTATCTGGGAACTAGTAACTTCTACATTAATACAAGTGACTAGACTGTGACCTAAAATTTCAAGTGTTCTTGCCAAAAATGTAATCAACCCCTTTGAGCTCTTCACGCTCCAATCTTCTCATTCATAAACTGGAGATAATAATATCTACTTAAGCACTGAAGTGACAGTTAAATGGAATAATATATACCATGTGTATAACAAGTATTCAAAAATAGTAGCTATTGTAATTACTATTTTCCAAACCCACAAAGTACCAATGTGCAAAAACAAAAAGACAAATAAAAAAGACTGAATTTGAAGAATCCTGATTTTGACACCTGCTAATAGTCTGGCTTTTAACCTCTGTAAGCTTCAGTCTCTTCATCAAGCAAAATAAGAGTACCAATCATAGATGCGACGTGAGATGTGTTTTTATTCCATGCGAAATTGTCTAATTAAAGCCAGGTACAAACATTAGCTAATGTTAATTAGCAGTCTCTCCCACCTCTACCAAAAAAAAAAAAAAAAAAGATGAAGTGAGGAAACTATTTTAGAAACATGATACTTTACAGAAAAATTAATGTAGCTTTTATTATGAACTGTGTTCCCAAACACGACGGGAGGCAACACTTCTGAAATCATCATTGAGAGACCATGCAACCATCAACATTGTCACCAAATAGAGTTTGTGAACAAATGCTATGGTAACCAGTCATTTTCTTCTTCTCCATATGAGAAATTTGAAGCCCATACAGACACGCTAGGTCTCCTCTGTGAATGTGTATTCAAAGAAACGTAAACAGCAGCCAATTACTGCTAGGAGAGAATTGCGACAAGTGTTGAATTACAAAAAGCCAATTACTAAAATACCTTTCTTGCAGGTGTGGAATTAAACCTAACACTTAAACCTAACACTTTATAAATTTTGTTCATCACTCGAATGGCTGCAATACAATGAGATAACAGTCTTAAAATAAAACTGAAGAAATGTTAACAAGCTGTTCCTGTGTTTTGAAGATTAAGCGAAATATATAAATCCTAACTCAATAACAAATTACTTTCTGTTACAGCAGTTATAAATTTTTATAAATTTTAATATAAAATCAAACATTGCTTTACACATTTACCTGTTTCCCACTAGGGTTTCTAAAGGCAGCAGTCATTTTGGTGGTAACCATGATAAGCAGAGAATACAGGGAGACTGGGGATTTGAATTGAATTTATAGCTGACTCATAGGGAGTGTTAACGACATTGCCACTGGGATCCACCCATTTAACACCCTTTCAGTTCCACCTTATACACTTGTTAGGTAGTAGGGAGCTGGGAATGTGGAGGACTAGGAATGCTGAAACCAAAGCTTTTTTGTCTTAGGTATGCTAATTGATTTTGGTTTTTCATTCCTTCTTTCCTTCTTTTCTCCCCTCCCTCCCTCCCTCTCTCCCTTCCTTCCTTCCTCCCTCCCTCCCTTCCTTCCTTCCTTCCTTCTTTCTTCCCTCTTCCATCTTCCTTCTTCTGTCCCTCCTTCCTTCCTTCTATGACTTGATTTATCTCAGAATGACGTTATAATTGTTATTGTGTTTGAGTGCTGATGCTGAGGCATTGGTTAGAAACTTCTATAATTAGGTGTTTTCTGACACAAGACAAAATTATTAATTTGGTAGAGCTTTCCTCTTTGGCTTTTTTTTTTTTTTTCACTCGTTACCTGAGGTTTTGGAATTCTGCAGGCTATATTGTGTTCTATTAATGGATGTTGCAGTTGTGTTACTCAGGGGCTATTGAGAGTTTACTATGCAATACAGAAGCAAGTAATATACCTCACAAGTGATATACCTTGTGAAAGCTACCTAAATAGAGAGAAAGCCACTTCTTCAATTCTTTTCTAGGAGATCTGATATATTGGTTTTAAAGGATTACCTCTCTCATGATGGCTTCCATTTTGTTTCGTTTTTTAAAGACAGGGTCTCGCTATGTTCCCCAGGCTGGCCTTGAACTCCTGGGCTCCAGTGACCCTCCTGCCTCAGCCTCCTGAGTGGCTGGGACTATAGGTGAATACTCCCATGTTGCTGATGGCTTATGCTTTTAAAGCACTTACCATAGCTGGGCACTGTGGAAGCGCTTTTCATCTATCATCTCACTTAATCTTTATCATAATCCTATTGTTATCCCCATTTACAAGTGAATCCCCAAGCCAGTCACTAAGAATGCTGAATTTATTTGCTCCTTCATTTATTCACAAATATATTAAAGATAATCAACTATGTCAGCTACTTTCCTAAGAGCAAGGACAGTAACTAACATTTTCAGCTCCTACAACATGTCAAAAATAATGTTATGTGCTTCCACATGAGGCAACTATTATTTGGCCCATTTAAAATACAGGGAAGCTATGCCTGGTCCAAAGTCAGATCGTTAGTGAAAGAAAAAGCAAAAATGCAAGCATGAGTCTCTCTTGACTACAAAACCTGTATCATTTGGAGTTACAAAAATGTGGTACCTGTGTTCACACTCTAGTGTAAGAATGTGTAGTATAGTATAGAAGACAAACATATGAACAAGTAAATGAACAATAACATTATATGTTCTGTTGTACCAAGATATAATATGGTGGGAACATATAGAAAGGGGAGTACCTATGACTGAGTTGTACTATTTTTATTGTTCATACCCCCTTCCATCTTTTTCCATTAGATGCCTGACTCAAATGAAGCCAGTCACATTACCTTAACTGCCTGATCCTACTGATTGATTCAAGGAGTCAGGCCTGGGAGAATCCTACCCTGGGGTTTTTCAAACCAGAGCTGGAAAAGTAAAAGCCCTTTGCCCTCTCGTTATGAAGCTGTAAGGATGAAACTCTAAGGAGATCCTGGCTATACTCAGAGAAGCTAAATGAGATGGAGAACATCCTGAGGATATTAAAATCCCTGGTTCCAGTAATCCTGCCTTTCCTAAGCCTTTGCTGTTCCAATCTTTCTTTAATGCTGTGACCACCCCCATAACCTTCAAAGGAAGGAGAGAAGGAGGAAGGGAAGGAGAGAAGGAGGAAGGGAAAAGGAAAGAAGGAAGGACTCGTGTACTCATCAAACATTTTTTTGAACATATCATACCAGACATTGTTCTAGGCACTGGAAATAGACACAAGTGGTAGCCATTCTCTGATTTGACCATGAATGATCCTTGCTTTTGACCCAATGATCCTCTTTGCCTGTTATTCATTTATGTATCCATATGTAATCCCTCCTACATCGAATAAGGCCTGTCTGTGGGACCAATAAAATATGGCAAAAGTTACCAATTATGGCTGGGCATGGTGGCTCACGCCTGTAATCTCAGCACTTTGGGAGGCCAAGGCAGGAGGATCACCTGAGGTCAGGAGTTTGAGACCAGCCTGACCAACATGGTGAAACCCCATCTCTACTAAAAGTACAAAAATTAGCCAGGCCTAGTGGTGTGCACCCGTAGTCTCAGCTACTTGGAGGATGAGACAGGATAATTGCTTGCACCCGGGAGATGGAGGTTGCAGTGAGCCAAGATCACGCCACTGAACTCCACCCTGGGTGACAGAGGCAAGACTCTGTCTCCAAAAAAAAAAAAAAAAAATGACCAATTATAACCTCTGAGACTAGGTCATTGCAGTTTTTGCCTTGTTTTCTTAAATCGCATGCTTTAGGGGAAGCCAGCCACCATGTGTGAACAGCTCTGTGAAGGAAAAAGAACTAAGGCCTCCCATCAACATTCAGGACCAACTTGACAGCCATGCCAATGAGCCACCTCAAAAGCAAATCCTTCAGCCCCAGTCAAGCCTTCACATTACTCCAGTACCAGCTCACATCAGACTGAATCTCATGAAAAACCAAAAGCCAGAACCAGTCAGCAAGCTGCTGCTGAATTCCTATTACATAGAAACTGTGAGTGCACCATTGCACTCCAGCCTAGGCAACAGAGTGAGACCCTGTCTCAAATTTAAAAAGGGTGGGGGTAGCAAAGGACTTGAACATTTCTCCAAAGAAGATATGCAATGAGCATATGAAAAGATGCACCATGTTATTAATGATTAGGGACATGCAAATCAAAACCAAATGATACACCACTTCACACTTACTAGAATGCTATTATGAAAAAAGCAGAAAATTACAAATGTTGGTGAGATGTGGAGAAATGTAAACCCTTGTGCATTGCTGGTGGGAATGTAAACTGATACAGCCACTGTGGAAAACAGTTTGGCAGTTCCTCAAGTTAAAAATAGAATTACCATATGATTCAGTAATTCCACTCCAAGCCAAAAGAATTTAAAACAGGAGCTCAAATGGATACTTCTTCACCAATATTCACAGCAGCACTATTTACAATAGCCAAAAGGGGGGAAAAAACCCAAATGTCTATCAAAAACTAAATGAATAAAGAAAATGTGATACATCGAGGTCAGGAGTTCGAAACCAGCCTGGCCAACACAGTGAAACCCTGTCTCTACTAAAAATACAAAAAAATTAGCCAGGCATGGTGGCAGGCACCTGTAATCCCAGCTACTTGGGAGGCTGAGGCAGGAGAATCGCTTGATCCCGGGAGGTGGAGGTTGCAGTGAGCCAAGATTGTGCAACTGCACTCCTGCCTGGGTGACAGAGCTAGACTCAGTCTCAAAAAAAAAAAAAAAGAAAATGTGGTATGATGAAATATATTATTCAGGCATACAGAGGAATGAAGTTCTGCTACATGCTATAACATGAATGAGCCTTGAAAGCATTATGGTAAGTAAAATAAATCCATCATGAAAGGACAAATATTGTATTATTCCACTTATATGAGGTATCTAGAGTAGTCAAATTCATAAAGACAGAAAGTAAAATGGTGATTACTAAGGTCTGGGAGAACAGGGAATGAGGAGTTATTGCTTAATAGACAGTTTCTGGTGGGGCAATAAAAAGGTTTTGGAACTAAGTAGTTGATGATGGTTATCAATATTGTAAATGTACTTCATGCCACTGGATTATACACCTAAATATGGTTAAATCAGCAAACTTCAGGTTATATGTATTTTTCCATAAAATATACATTAAAAATATATCTATGCACAAAATATACATAAAAAAAGAGAACAGCTTCTGGGAATTTAGAAAATTTTCTTGGAAAAGAAAAACAGAAAAAGAATCTTGATTTGACTTCGTCAAAATAATAAGTTGAACACATTAATAAATGTATATATAATATATATGATATGAGATGGTATAAGTGAAGGAGAAAGGGAGTGTGAAGAAATGTTATTACAAATTTATTTTATTTTATTTTATTTTTTATTGAAACAGGATCTGACTCTGTTGCCCAAAGTGGAATGAGATCAGAGCTCACTGCAGCCTCGACCTCCTGGGTTCAAGCGATCCTCCCACCTCAGCCTCCCAAGTATCTGAGACTACAGGCACATGCCACCATACCCAGCTAACTTTTATTTTTTGTTTGTTTGGGTTTTTTTGTGTTTGTTGTTGTTGTTTTGTTGTTGTTGTTTGTTTGGTAGAGACAGGGTTTCACCATGTTGCCCAGGATGGTCTAGGACTCCTGAGCTCAAGTGATCCAACTGCCTCAGCCTCCCAAAGTGCTGAGATTACAAGCAAGAGCCACTGCACCTGGTGGTTATTATAATTTTAAACAGGACAGTCAGGGAAGACCTCACAAAGTAGGTGGTGGGGCTGGGCACAGTGGCTCACACTTGTAATCCCAGCACTTTAGGAGGGTGAGGCAGGTGGATTGCTTGAGCTCATGATACTCGAGACCAGCCTGGGCATTTTGGCAAAACCTCGTCTCTACAAAAAATACAAAAATTGCTGAGTGTGGTGGTGCACGCCTGTAATCTCAGCTACTTGGGAGGCTGAGATGGGAGGATGGTTTGAGCTCGGGAGGTGGAGGTTGCAGTGAACTGAGATTGCGCCAATGCACTCATCTGGGTGATAGAGCCAGACCTTATCTCAAAAAAAAAAACAAAAGGTGGGCTGGGCGCGGTGTCTCATGCCTGTAATCCCAGCACTTTGGGAGGCCGAGGTGGGTGGATCACGAGGTCAGGAGTTTGAGACCAGCCTGGCGAACATGATGAAAGCCATCTCTACTAAAAAAAAAATACAAAAAATTAGCCAGGTGTGGTGGCGGCAGCCTGTAATACCAGCTAATTGGGAGGCTGAGGCAAGAGAATTGCTTGAAA